TCCTCTTTGATCTTCTCTTGGTGGTGGAAGGAGACGGCGATCTCATGAACGTGATGTCCAAGTTTTCTTCGGAGGCTCTTATTCATGTTCTTCTTGCGACTTCCACTCTCCTTCATCACCTCCTGGGCTCTTTCCTTCAGATCTTCTTGAGCTTCATCATCTTCTTCAGAGCCACTTGAAACTGCTTCCACCCCCACTTCATGAGATGATGATGATTCTTCTTCATTTGCCGTTTCCTCCTCTTCTTCTGAATCTTCCAGCTCCTGTGCTTCATCGATCACTTTCACGCCAAGGTCTTCTTGCAGAAGTCTCAACCACTCTTCGGTTCGCCTCTCTCTGAATGGTCTTCCTGGCGTGTCTTCCTCCTCTGAGCTGGCTTCCACTGTTGCATCTTCTGTGGATCCTTCCTCCTCTGAGCTTTCTCTGCTTGGACTTCCTTCTTCCTCCGCAACCTCTGCAACGAATGACAATGACTGCGGATTGTCCAGCAAAATCTTCCTCCTTCTCTGGCCTTCCGTGGACTGCCAAAACTGTACAGCCTCATTGGCCTATAGGCTTCCATAGTCAAGCAGCTGAATACCTGGGTGCCTTGTCCAGGTCAGGATCATGGGCCTGCTTTCGCCATTGAGCTCCAACTCCTTCTCGCAGAACCTGAAAACGGCCTCCCACCTGCTCAACTCTGATGGTCCAATCAAGCCAGGGCAACTGAGGGCTTCTCCTTCGACCATTGAGATGCGGACCACATCCCACTGCCCATGAACCAGGACAGGGTACAGGAAGGCTTTCTGGCTCACCGCGGGTGCTCCTGCTCCAAAACGATAGACTTCATATTCTTTCACCTCCATCCAAGGAACTTGCAACTTCTTCAATCCATCTTGGAAGGCTTCATGCCACAAACGACCTCCAACTGCATTACGGCAACCAGAGTCAGCAATTGCCAGTCCTGGAGTCTGCAGATGAGGGGGCAGCTTCTTCTTCACTGCATTGTAGACTTCCACCTGGTGTGGCTCAATGTACCAGAACTCGGTGACAATCTTCATGGGTCCTTGTGATAGGGGCTCATGAATCTTGATCTTGTCACCTGTGAAGTCATCTTTCTGCAAGACCTGGCCATTCTTGTCCTTGGTGACTCGGCAGCAGACATGCTGTGGCAGTGGTCCTCCTTCATTGACCTCTTGTAGGTGTCTCACCTCTTTGTCCTCTTCTCTGACCCACACCTTCGCCTGCCAAGGCACTCCTTCTGGACGATCATGTGCCATAGCCACCATCAGGGCCCCATGCTTTGATGACCAGTAGATGACACTCTTGAGGTCACAGAGCTTGCATTTGGCGTAGTGGCCATCCTGATTGGCACTCCATCGCAACTCATTGAAAGGATGGAGGCATTGGGCTTGCTTCTCTGTCGGAGTTGGTGCAGCTTTTGATGGAACCAGCCGTCCTCCTTGGACTTGACGATCATACAGGTTCTGACGGAAGGTCCTCAGCTCTTGATCTCTCAATGGCTTTGGAAGTGAATCATCTTTCTTCGGTGGTGCTGCTGGTGCGATCGGTCCCTGGGTCGAAGCTGATGCACGACTTCCTTGCTCTTGCCATCGAGGGCGAGGATCTCGCTCCCAGTTCCAAATATGATCTGGTCCAAAATCTGTGTACTCTGCAATAGTCTTCTTGCTGGCCTGAATGCGTTTGAGCTCTGCATAGGCTGCCTCCTCCTCATCCTCCTTCAAGGCTTTCTGAAGCTTCTTCTTCTCTTCTTTGCTCATGCTTGGCAGGGCTGCCATGACTTCCTTGGTCTGAAGTTTGACGGATCCATACCCCTTCAAACTCTGACCTTGGGGCAGGGCAGCAGCCGCCAAAGCAGTTTGCCTTGGCACCTCAAAGGTGAATGGAGGCGTCACAGGCGGTGGGTCCACCATGTCCCACTTCTCATCCTCTTCTGTCTTCACTTCTTCCTTCAGGCGCTTGTGCTGGCTCATGTCTGCATCCATCAGCTGTGGGTGGCCACACTGACGACAAAAGCGTTGAGACAGCGGCACAGGCCAGCGACAATTGGGACAATGTCCTGGCGGAGGGATCTCTTCATCGTTGTTGGTCATGAAGGTGAAGTGCACTGTCTGAGCTGGCTTCTTGCTGCTCGGCACATGTGGTTGGTCACGACCATTCAAGACACTTGGGCAACAGGAATCGCCCTTCCAATGTCCAACTTTGCCGCACGAAGAGCAGGTACTTGACTTCTTCTTTAGGTCCACTGACCGTCCTCCTTTTCCTGCTCCTTTCTCATTGCCTCCTGAAGATGTCTTCCAACCACGATTCTTCCGAACTTCAGCTGTCTTTTGCTTCGCCCTCCATCCAGCTGCAAACACCTCCTTCAAATCTTCTGCATCCAGGCTGTCATTCTCCTCATCTTCGCCCTCCTCATCTTCTGCAGCCTGTTCTTCATCCTCATACAGGATGTCCATGGCTTCCTCGTCCTCCTCCATACGTTCTTCTTCCAGGCCATCATCTTGCTCTCCTTCTTCTTCCATAGCAACATGGGCACCGTGCTGCTTCTTCACAATGACCTTCTTCTTGAAGTATTGTTGTCCTTTGGGCCGATATGGAGGAGTCCGCTCATCTTGGAACTTGTAATTGCCCTTTTTCTCATCTTCATGAATCCTGCCACATCGAACTCGCAAGGCCTTCTCTATTGCACTGCTCTGAAAACAAGCTCCAGCAGCATAGTACACGTCGTGGCGTTCTCTTCGAGATAGGGAGGCTCTCTGCAACAAACGCTGTCCCCAAGCCATGTCGGAGATCTTGGACTCTGGGTCAACACGACTGTACTGGGCCCTCAATCTCTTCATCTCAGATAGGTAGTGGGCCACAGTCTCTCCTGGTTGGCGTCGGCACCTGTCCAACTCCTTGTCCACTCGTTCGAACAGCTCGGCATCACTCTCACCAAATGCTTCATCCAACACCTTCCATAGGAGCTGAAGTTCGCCCTGCTCGGTGTAGGACTGAATGGGATTCTGTTCAACAACATCACGAGCTTCTCTTCTGGTGGAGAGATACACCAACATAGCCAACTCATTCCCTTCCAGGGCGTAGAGATGCTGCTGTGCCTGAATAGTCCGCTTCCACTTGAGATATCTTGTTCGATCTCCATAAAACTCCTCCACCTTCACCGATCCCAGTGAACTCTTTGGCCTATAGCCATCTTCTTGTCGAAGTCGCCTCTTCAGCATGGACTTGATCTCCGAAGTCGCTGCTGTCGAGGAACGCTGAGAGGCATCATCTGGTTCTTCTGGCTCTGACGGATCACCTGGTCCATCAGCTTCCTGGGATTCCTTCTTCTTGGATGGCTTTGGTGGTTTGGCGGACTGTTCAACCGAAGGCTTGGACCATGACCCCATAGATCCCTCTGTGGGTTGCATGTTGTTCATGTGTTGGCTCATGGGGTTCATCGGACTCATTCCATGACAGGGCCATGTCATTGGAAAACTGGGCATCATCCACGGCTGTGGTGTTGGTCCTGCCTGCATACATGCTCCTGGGTGTGGTCCCAGGCTTGGCGGGATGAACATGCCTGACTGCTGGGTGGTCGTCGTCACATGAGGTGACATGGTATGAACTGGTCCATAACCATTGGATACCATCCCTGGTGGAGTTGCATGTGGCATGCATCCAAACTGCGGGCCATAGATGGTGGGCTGTCCCCATGGTGTGGGTGGCACTGCTCCTGGCTCCATGGACGACATACTGGGCATGGGCTGTGTCATCTGTACTGCTGGCTGTAGGGATGGGCTTGTTGCTCCAACTGTCGATTCGGGAGTCACGATCAATGGAGGTGCTACCTCTGGTTGGGACTGCTCTTCAACAATGACCGCTCCCTTCTCTCCCTTCCCTTTTCCTTTCTTCCCTTTTCCAGGCTTTCCGTGACCAGGCTTACCGGACTGTGACACAGAACCCATTTCTGTGCCCTTGCCGTGACCGAGTCCCTTGCCCGGATTGGGCCCTTCACTCCATGGATCCTGACCACCTTGCCAGGGATCATCTTGCGGCAATGGAGTCGCCGCAGCCACCGCCGTGGCATCAGCCACAGGAACATCCAGCGCTTCAGCGCCGTCATCGCCATGGGCCAGACCATCCATGGCTCTGCCAAAAAGGACGTGGTAAAATGTGCAGAAATTACCTACCGCCCCTCAGGGCTCCGCTACCAATGTGCAATATGCTGGGGCGCCACTCCCACAAACAAAGATGTGAATGCAACCACGTGAAAACAAAGGCGCACAAGAAAGTCAACGTGTATGCAACACGACAAAGCGAAAGCAAATGCTGCCAAGCGCTGTTTTGCTGTGCTGACATCGATGCCTATGTAAAGGCGGCGGTAAGTGAAATGAATCACAACGTCGAAGCGTCCACAAGCAACCACAAGGAAAGCTCACCACTGTATCAATCACAGAGACAAGTGGAGACAAGTGTAACAAGAAGGGAGACGAGCAGGGACAAGCAGGTAGACAAGTGGGAGTGGGAGACAAGCGCAAAATTTTTCGGCCAAGAGTATCTAAGCAGGACGACTAGCAAAGAGACAAGTATAGAGACAAGTGTAAAAATATCCGGCGTGCCATCACTGGGCATCACCGAACCGTGCTATCACCGAACCGGCGGCACAGTGCCGGTGCTCACCTGCTCTTCGCTCCGGCCAGGGTAAAACCTCCAGCAACTGCCATGCTGACAGGGACCCTCGCATGTTTCACGCGTGTTTCACGCAGCGGAGGTGCCGTCCAATGACAATCACTCCATCCCACTCATAGATTGGTTCCTTGAAACATGGATTTGTTCCGAACCACAGGACCAGTCAGTGTCCTTCCACCAGTCTAATTGAGGCGAATTGGAGGTGGCAGAAACCATGGTTTGCACCCTTTGACTCACCTGGCGAACCAACAGCTCCGAACTCTGGCGCCGGAACAACCGGAACAACCTGCGCCATTGCAGGCCAAGGCCAACTTGCATCTCCAAGGCACCCCAAGACCACAGGCAAACCGCCCCATGTCAATGCCTCGGTGTCTGCCGCAGGGAACTCGCTCAGTGAGCATGTCAGCCGAAGGGAGCTTTGTTCATGGGAGGGTGTCGTCGTTATTCATTTTACTGGAGACGATCCTCGAATGCATCACTTGAGCGCGTTCACTCCAAAATTAGATAACGCAAGGCAAACTTCTATCGTTGGCTTCTCCTGTTTTGTCGGCTTTGACACATTTTACCTTACTCTTCTTCAACACGAACTGCTACACCCTGGGGCGGAAGACTCTCGCGGCCGGTCTTCCCGTGGCTTCGACCCGGATCCGAGGGGCAGCGGCGCTTGTAGCGCCGGACCATGCCGAAGACCCTCAGGGACCGGTCGGAGTAGGCCTGGTCCATCCGGTGAGTTCGACGCCGGTCATGGGATGTGGTCTACTCATTCAGGTGGGTCACATGCATATGACATGTGGGTCATGGGTGGTCAGGGAGATTCTTTGCCGTTGGGGTCATCTAGGAAAAAGGGGAGTCCCACGTGCTGTTTAGAGTGAAGTGCTTGTCCGTCCGTAGCCTTTCAGTCTTACCATTCCACAAACTATTGGGGCTCTTTGAAGCAGCATTCGTTCCGAAAGAATTCCCATCGACGAAGTCGTCTCGAATCTTTTCTTCAAACTCCATCGAAATTGCCCAAATCTCTGAACACTGGAAGGAGGCGATTCATCCTACACCTCCTAGGAATTTGGGAACCATCTCCTGCAGCTCCCAGCAACCGGTGATGACCCGCCCACGCCTGGCCGCAAATGGGGCACTGTGGGCTGTTGTTCCGGCGGATCCATTCGACCGCGCAGGCGCCTGTGGGCGTTCCACCAGCGAACCCCGGTCGGCCAAGCAGGGCATAAGGAGAGGGAGATCGCTGGTCCCAGGAACCACCCCGATTTGGGGATTTTTCCTTTTGCCTCGTTTAGATCGTAGGTGTATACGGGAAGGCCAAACAGTTTTTCTGTACTTGGGCGTCCAATTGGTCGGTTTCTGCGATTCACTTAGATTCACTGGCCGTATGTCGGAACGTTGTCCGAAGACATGAAGCGAAGAAAACAATCTGTTTGGGAGGCATCAGTGGCAAACGTGTCCGTGACTCTGGAAACCCATAGGGCCTAGAGATGGTTTGGGATGTTTCTTCTTTCGACCCCGAAACACCTGTGGCGTTTCCGCTACCACGACTCGCGCAACAGGAAACGAACACGTGTGAGGTGTGTCTTGGACTAGGGAAAGTTTTCCATTTGGTTTCTCCTCTTACTTTTCACTTTTAAACATTCGAGATCTGGCTTGGGGGTCCATCCAAATACACCCGGTGGCCCCAACACAAATTTGGCGATCCATTTTTCACCACTCTCCCCTCTGCTAGCCATCCGGTCTTACTTTTGGACCCCGGACGATGTACTGATGCCATGCTGCCGCTACAGCCTTGCCGTGCATGAGCTGTTCGAAAGAAAAATGACGCAAGTGGGGGTCTGTGCGCTGAGCAGGTGGCAACAAGTTGGTGTAGGTGATAAGTGCCCCCTATCTATTCAGAGGTGCCGGGTGGTACCAAAACAATCGGGTCAGTTGGCTCTAGTATTGGAACAGATTAAGCATAACTTGCCAAGTACATTATCCCGGCAAAAGCTCCCAAACAGTGTGGCTAAAGGTCGAGGGTCTAGAGGTGTAGAAGCAGAAGGTCTGGAGATCTAGATGTCTTCGGCTCTAGACAGGTGATGGTGCTGATGGTGGTGGAGATGGTGGTGGTGATGATGGTGGTGAGGGTGGTCGTGGCGGTGGTGATGATGGTGATGACGGTTGTGATGGTGGTGGTGATGATGGAGACTCCCCCGCCTTCTGAAAACAAACCACATGTTCAAAAGTCACCGCCCCGATCCCTTGCACCTGCCACGAAAAGTTACCACTGAGTCTGAAAATGTGCACGGCACAAGAACGGGAGCGAAGTCGAGAAGAGCACCCGCTCACGCCCAGCAGATTCTGCGAGCCTGCGCAGTCGATATGCACTTCGAAGATCTCGAGGTGAATGAATGTACTGCAAATTCCAGCGAATTAGCTGCTGGCGGATGCGAACACCTCCGATCAAACACCTGGCCTTAACATGTACCGTAAGAACCCCTAGTGTTGCCACACTGCTTGGGGAAAAGACAAGACAAACTTGACTATGCCAATGGGCCGATTCCGTCACAATGAATTCTTTGGGTTTGGGATTCTAGTCTCTGCCATGTTCATCTTGCTTCCAACCGCGAAACCCATGAGAACGACCCAACCTAGTGGCAATGGCTTTCGACCGCGCAACAGAAACCGGTCAAGTAATAAGCAATCTTGTGCGAGGTCGTAACTTGGCTTTTTGAGATCAACCTGGATCAATCTGATCTCTTCGATGCTTTTAGACAACCCCTCCCGCAAGGAACACTCCCAAATAGCCAGGGAAAGCCAATCGACTCTGCCGCAATCAATCAATCAATCAATCAATCAAATCAAATCAAATCAAATCAAATCAAATCAATCAATCAATTCATCAATCAATCAATCGAGTTCCTCTAATGGTGTTATTCTAGAATCATTTTTTTCACACGCGTCGACCACTTGCTTACACCTTCGATAAAGTGATGAACCGACTTGTTTGGCCCTACTCAGTGAACCCTCTACCCGATCAGGCCTCAGTGTCGATCTGGTCCTTTGAAATCCTTTGTTCGATCAAATCAGTGTCGTTACTGAGTGAACCTTGAAGCAATTCACGGAACCTGCACATTGTGACCACCACCTGTTTACTGTAAATGACTTGAACATACTTGAGCTAGTTTTACACCTGTTGGGTATTTGGTCGTGGTGCCACGGCCTGTCCTGTTCTGCCCCGTTCCGAACTGGGGGCCCGTGCCACAGGGCTGCAGAAGCTCTCCCTCCTGCGGAGCTTGACTCGGTTCCAGCCTGATGCGTCCAACTCAACATGAGGGCACCCCCAAAAATACCAAGTCTCTGGGTGAACCAAATCATATCAAAGTAGCTAAAGTAGATGGTATCTACCAGGAGTCACAAAAGGGGTGCCGAACTTGGAGGAAGTCGGAGTGACCATTAATCCACTCACTGGAGACTAAAAACCACCCAACTCTATGTGACTCCTGGTATAAGTAACTGTAAGTCATCAACAAACCACGCTGTCTCGGTGGAACGCTTCCGCACATCCAGCTTGGGGGACCGACAGGGGTGAGGCAGGTATGGTGTGGAGGCTGAATGAGCTACGTGCTCCGTAACACACGCAGGAACGGGGCGTTTCACAGCGGCAGGTAGGGCTTCGGGTAGCCGCCGGCCCTGATCCATCGCAGCGAAGGGCCACGAAAGCATCGACGGTGTGAGCTGCCTTTCCACCAAATCCCGATCTCACGCTGTTCCTTGTAGCCTCACCGTTCGAGGTGACGGTGAGCATCCAGACTGCATCTTCAGACTTTACTGAGGGACAGGCCGACTTGGCATTCTCCACATCTGCTGAAACTGGAGTCAGTACGTCGATGTCTTCATTGAGCTTGTTTGCCTGTTGTAGACTGACAACTCGTCCAAAGGGTCTCAAACCCCGCCTAGCCCAAACCGCTGGGTAAGGTGAGCAACCAGCGTAGTGAGAGCTGCTCCGGCTCATGAGTGGCTCATGATGCCACTTTGGGATCTTTGGTGGACATCATGAGAGCCTTTGGATCATCGAAAAGCGTCGTGGCCACAGGCCGGAGATTGCATGAGGGTCCTGGTCTTCGAGGAGGCCCTCAAGAATGACAGGAATGCCGTCCTCCACTTCAATGGTAACTTTGTTGAAAGTGGACAGGGATCACTAAGCGCACTAAGGTCTGACAGCTTTGGAGGATCACTAAGCTCTGACACCTTAGTCGAACTTCTTTCTAGCTCTCCCGCTACCGTCTGAAGCTCCTGCTGATCTTTCATGACACGGATCTCACTCATGCAAGTAGGCTCGGAGCCTAAGAGAAGCTGGAGCAGGGGCCGAATGAGGGGGCGAGGTGGAGCTAAGCTTAGGAGATAGCAGGTAAAGAGTGATGAAGAAGCTTGAGGACAGGCGAAGCCTGAGAGAAGCACAGTGAGCAGGGCAGGACAGCGAGTGCGAACGTGACAGAAAAGCTGAGACGGCTGAAACAACCTTTTCCATGTAGCTTGAGGCTTGAGGAGGTGTCAAACATCATGATCGAAGATAAAGGCCAACCGCAAGAGTTACGCGTTGCATAGAGCTTACAGCTGCATATAGCTGCTATGTTGCTCACGTCATGGCCGAGCTGACAAAAGTGAAAAGGGCAATTGTGCCTGTTGTGTGTTCAACAGCAGGCATTTTCTCTTCCAACTCAAGTTCTGGCGTGCCTCACACTACGTGGGCAGCTTCAGGCCTGGCGAAGGTCCTTGCCTCTGGCGGCTGCCGATATCGGCATTGACAACAAATTTTGAAACAAGGCAAAGGAGTCAGTGTGGGCCCGGCTCATCTTTTGCTGAATCATGTGCAGCATGATGAACACTGCTGATCACAAACAGAGAGTCGCCACGTCACACAAAGGTACTCTTCACAAGCAGGATTCTTGTACAAAATAAGCTTATCCTCCCAAAATAAGTGTCGCATAAGACTTCTTCACCACCAACGTGAAGAGCTTTATCCTCCGCCATCTGTGATCAGATTCTCATTGACAGAACCTTTCTTCTTCATTCACCCTGAGAAATCTGGCAGCCGAACCAAACGGCCACCATGGAGGACCAGTAAGTCGCCGTCTTGGACCCGGTGAGTCTGCTGACCGGTAGATGGTAGATGGACCGGTAGGTGCAATGAGGTGGCCAAATAGATAGATTGAAGGTATGGGATAATGAGAGGAACAGTTGCTTCACTTCAATTCGAGGAGCAGCGATTTCCAATTTCAATTGTGAAGGGGACTCCCTTAGTTGTTGATGACCATGCAAGAGCCCTGCTCTTCAATGCAGTGTGGTTTATTGCTGTGATGTGCACACAGCCAGACTTCCGAGACCAATACCATTACATTCGTGGGTGATTCCTCCTGTATACCAAAGAAGTAGAATGCCGCATCATTCGTCGGAAAAAGACGTGTCAAGTACCCCAGCCTTCCTCCAAACCGACATTTCATGACACCCTTATGCACCCACAACCACGACGGGAGTCACAACCACTGGGACACCACATCTCCATGCTCTCGCCACACGTCCCGTCCTCAGGGCCACATCCACCTCAACGAGCGAAGCACCGGTGGGCCAGGCGAGGCCAGGTGTTCGGTGGCGAAGGAAGGGTGAAGCCTCCCTGTTCGGTCCGAGGTGGAAGTGGCTCATGCTTTCATGCCATTTTTGGGGTTCCTTGTTTGTGTGCCTGCCGAAGACAACTTTTTTTGATGACTTTGCAGATTGAAGTCATTCAACTGTCCAGTGTGTTGGAACATGTCGAGCGGACGGCGACGATGATTTTTGTCTTTTCCCAAGCATGTGTGCAAGCAGGGCAAATGGACAAAGCCATGGCCCAGATATTTGTAACAATCTGCGACATCTGCCAAGAGAGAAACAATGCCCTGCATGACCAAAACAATATGCTAAACGACATAGATGCACACATCGAACATTGAAGCTGGACAAGCCGAGCATGCCAACACCTTCGATCCTGTTCGTATGTCCATGGCGCCTTTGTGGAAGAAATCTTGCACTACCGTTGAGCTGAAAGAAACACACTCTCAATATAGACTTTTGATTGATAACACCCCGTTTGGATTGTAGAACCTCTTCAGGCCAAGGGGTTTATCAATCAACAGCCTATTAGTAGAACCAACCAACCTTACACGTGCTCCCTCCATGTTCCACCCCATCTTTCCTTTGGATCTCCCACAATTTCATCCCGGCGGAAGAAACACTGAACAGTGAAATGACATGCAAACCCACCAACTTTTGACTCACCAGTTCAGGGGTTCCACCAAGTGTTTCGACACCATCGTCTGTGGAGGAAGCACCATTCTCGCCACGAGCACCTTGCTTCCTTTTCTTTTCTCTTTGTTTCCAATAGCCTACTTGCGACAACCTCCAACCCACTAGCGATGGCCTCCAACCTACTCTGAGAAACTCACCAATAATTCCGCCTCTTTTGGATCACCAACGGATCCCACCATGTCCTCCTCTCCTTCAACCGTCCCAGGTGCAAATTCGGCACTCTTCACCCTCCTCGTCCACCTGCACCGCCCGGTCCACTCCATTTGCTCCGGCGTTCTCCGCTGCTCCGGCGTTCTCCGCCGCGGCGTTGGGGCTCAGCGCGCGGAAGCGCATGGCCATGGCAGAGAAGCTGCTGGCGACCGCGCGGGGTACGCCCGGCAAGAGCTGGCCATCCTGAGGGGGAAAGAGGAAAGCCGCCAGGTCCACCCGAAATCTATGCACGTCTTCGAGGATTTAACATGAAGCTCTATGAACCGTCTTGCTAGACGAACTAACATAAAGGAAGTGACAGGTGCATGTTGTGACAAATCCAGATCTGGTGAACTCTGGTGGTGATATTCTCCTCGATGGATACGAAGAAAGGATCCGTCAGGAGAAGCAACAATAGTGGATAATCAGATCTATAGTGAGTCAACGAGATGAGATGAGATTTAGTGGATCTTTCTCCTGAAATGAGTGAATCTCGCTTGATCAACCGCTCGCAAGCTGCAGGCTGCCAGCTGCTTGCTAGCTGGCTGAGAAGTCTATCACCTACGTTCGGACCTCTGGCGCAGAAGAGCCACCTCACGGGGGATCAGTCTGGCTGACGTCACGATCTTTCTGAACCTTCGCCTCTCGTGAACTTTCAACTCGAAGAACGAAGTGATTGTGGTTGTGATCCCGAATCTGGAGAACCAACCACTTGGATGCAGACATCCCAAATAAGCCAATTGACTCCATGCATTCTGGTAAAAACGGAGATGACCGACAGTCGAAACAAGGGTGGCCGACCAAACCACCCCAGGAATTCAGTGACTTTGGGTCAACGGGGTGCCCTCTGTGGCATTTGTTGTTGTAAAGATCCCAGTCTGAAAGCACTATAGAAAGTGGACTATGGCACCAACGAACACATACTCGTGTCTGTCTTTCCACGTATATAAGAAGAAACACATCCGCCCTCATCAAGGAATACTTTTTGACCATGACGCACTTCATGAACATCCGGCATTTTCAACTTTTCGAAGCGTGTTTCGCATGCAATGGCACCGGTTCGGTCACCTGAAAAGACACTTCTGCTAGATGCCCAGGCCGCGCGTTCTTTCGAACAGAATCGAAGGAACAACGTGTTTCTCAAAAACACACTGGTGCCAAAACCGAAGAAAAACATGTTGCTCGGTCGCAACTTGCTCTGTCTGCTGGGCGAAACGAACGACGCCCAGACGCGCCGTTAACCCCGTCGACGCCGCGTCTACGCCCCGAACGATGCCCAGTCGCTGGAGTGGAGGCCCCCAGCTGCCGGCAGCGCGCTTCGAACTTGGCCGCGTTCATGTGCACCTCGTCGTGGCAGGCGTGAACGAGGGAGATGTTGCATGGAACTGTAGGATGATGGTCTTTTACAAGTTACACGGTGTTTGGTTGAATTAAAGGTTCTAGAAAAGCACCACCCATGAAGAACGTGGTTTGTACGGCTCTGAAAGCTCCTTGATTTGTTCAAGGGTTTTCCAGTTTCATACTTTTTGCTTTGGGGGAGGTCAGTTGAGCTCTCCCTTCCTCTATGATTCCCTCAGCACTTTTCGGGCATCTGATCCAATTTCAGCGGTGGGGGTGGTACTCTGAGGTGATACCTTAACATCTACCAGCAGCTTTTCCCAGTTCTTTTCCAACCTGCAAGTTGGACAGGCCTCTAGTTGCCATGGGCACCCGACACGAACGACGCACCTGAAAAAGGGTCGTGCCTGTACGGCGACCGCGTCCACACACTCACACAGTACTGACTTCTACCTGACCATCAGGCGTCATAGGAATCATAGGATCATAATCACTTTTCTATAAGCGAACGACCCTGGGATCGTGCAGACTTCCTCCTTTCCTTTCCTTTCCTTTCCTTTCCTTTCATCACGTCCTCCTTGAACCCCTTTTCACTCGCCACAGACCGGGTTCTTCGCGCTTCTTTGACGACGGAGGCCGCCTTGTCCACCACTTCCTTGGCCAAGTCCTTAGGCGCCACCGCCAGCGGACCGTGCGTCCTCCGCGCGACACTCGTGCTGCAGAAGCGAGCGGAAAGTGTGCGCTCGGTGTCACAGCTCAGAATCCGCTTCCGGTCGTTGCTGAGTTGGTGAAAAACAGAGGTTGGCAAACGAATCGTCCACTACTAGTAACAAGGGCATCACTACGAACGGAGCAAAGAAGCTACTAGTAGCTCCTGGCCATACCACAAGGGCATCACTACTAGTAGCAAAACTCCACATCAATCATCAAAGCTTGGACAGTTCAAGTACGTCTCTGCAGCGGTCTGGTTCTTACAGAGTTACAAAAGCTCGTACCCCGGGCTTCAAGGCGCCACGTTCGCCATTTTTCTTGCTGCGAGCAAAGTGGATTCATGGCTGCTGCGTGAGAGCTCATGCTAAGAAGGACGGATCGTCTGGTTCATGAATCACCTCTTTGGGGCCCAGTTCGCTTTTGCAAACTTCTCCATGTTAGACGACGAACCGTCAGTTCTGGCTCGTCGACTTTCGCCAAAAAAACCCTTTTGCAGCGGTCTATGATGGTCTTGTACCACTTTCT